ACCAGTGCCCCAGGTGTATGTCACTAAACAACAGACAGAACACTTTGCTTTCTGCCTCCTAACCCACACACAGATCGGCCACGCTGGCATTGCCAGGGTGCTCGCTGGGTTTGGGGGAGACAGCACGTGATTACACTGTCACGAGCATGAAGGACAACTCTGGAATGCAAAGCTGACTTGGAACCGGGGTGTGGGTGGGAGGGCGATGCCATGCAGATGGAAGGTTGCCAGAGATACGGTGGGCAAGCCACTCAGCTCAGGGCATGGCCTGAGGCCCATGTGAACACATTATATTATTAATGTATTAATGTAGTCGTTAATATAGGTTCATATGTTATTACCAATTATATACCAACACATTCACTGGAAGTCAGCAATTAATACTGAAGCAGAATCCAAGTTTGAATCTCTCTCTGATTCCTGCCAAGCTGCCTGACTCCAGTTTAAGCTTATGATGGGGAACTCACTACCTTCATGGTTCATTAGATATTTGTGTGTCTCTTTAAAAATCTGTTTTGGGCCTTCCACCCTTTCAGTAGTATCCCAGAGTGGTTAAGGGCTGGGAGCTCTGGAACCAAACTGCTGGGCCCGGTTAGTCTCATCCTACTATCCGTGTGACCTTGTGTTACTTAACCTCTGTGTGCCTCAGTGTCCTCATTTGGAATATGATGATAATAATAGTACTTATCTCATAGGGTGGTATGGGATTAAGTGTGTGAATATGGAAAGCACTTAGGACAGTGCCTGGCACACCATAAGGACTCAAGAAATGCCAGCAAGCATTGTTAGTCTCTGATTTATTTTCCCCTTCGAGAAAGTATAAAAGTTGAAGAATAATTAAGGCACATTAAAAGTAAATATACCAGGCAGAGAGATAAATGAACTGTTTGCATAAACATAAATTAAAAGAGTCACACTCAAAAAGAATTGTTCCCTGTTGACAACAGCAAGCATCTGGAAGAAATTAAGTGGGGGAAGACGGTGGGTGGTGTGGTGGTGTGGGCTGAGAACACACTGTGACTGTTAGGAGAGATCATTCATTTCTGGGTTGGGCAAGTGATCCCCAAAAGGGAGGCTGCTCTGGGCTTATACAGCACGATTTGGTGCCCAAAGAGTATTTACCCCTGCAGATAATTTCTGTTCTGATTTGCCTGGGTACCTAAAATGTCTATGTCATTCCTTGGAGCTAACACATTGCCTTGAAAAGGCCACTTCCAACATGCAAACACACTTACGAAAAATCACAAGGTGCCGTTTTATATCTGTGAAATTAACAATATGAACATTGCAATGCTCAGTGCATGGAGGTTTCCCTGAAACTGGCACATTTCAAAATCCCTAATGTACATAGAACTTCTACCACGTGTGTAGAGCTTTCTGGAAGAATTTTTGAGTCATAAAAATGTCTATACCTTTTGATAGTAGATCAGTAGATCCAATTTCTGGGAATTTATTGTTAGGAAACATTTCAAAAGAAAGAAAGAGCTTTCTCCATTACTTTCCCATGATAGAAAACAAATTCAATAGTAAGAGAATGGGTAAATTACAACACATCCCTGAGACAGACTCTCATGCAGTCATTTAAATTATAATTATAAAAGACAGAGAGAAGGATGGGAAAATGCTTATGAAATAATTATATTGTGTTAAAAAAAAAAAAAAAAACAGAAATCAAATTGTAAGGATTGGGTATACATATGGATGCAACTAGAAAATGAAAACAGGCCCTGGCCAGTGAGGCTCAGTTGTTTGGGCGTTGTTCCATGTACCAGTAGGTTGCTGGTTCGATTTCCAGTCAGGGCATATGCCCGAGTTGCAGGCTCAATCCCCCAGTGGGGTATGTGCAAGAGGCAGCCGATCAATGTTTCTCTCTCTCCCTCTCCCTTCTTCTCTCTGTAAAAACCAGTTACAAGTCTTTAAAAAAAAAGAAAGAAAGAAAGAAAGAAAGAAAGAAAGAAAGAAAGAAAGAAAGAAAGAAAGAAAGAAAATGAAAACAGAAAGAAACCCATGTGCTTTATTGGAGGTTGTGGGATTATAGAACTTTTTTCTTTCTTTTATTTGGATTCATGTTTATATTTGTTGTGCAATAAGCAATAATGAAAGACTCAAATGAACTCTCTAGGGAGGGTAGCTGATACAGCCAGCACTGTATAGGCAAGTTTCAGTTCCGTTTCCTGGACAGAGAGAAGGGCCCTAGAGCTGGTAGGTTCTCAGAGGAAGGGGCCGGTGGGCAAGGCCAGGGGCCTCCAAGGGCACAGGGTGGAAACTACCTGAAGATGGAAGGAGGAACTGCTGGGAGCTGGAAGAGAGTTGGAGTAAAGAAATGACCTACTTCATGGTGTTGCCCCTGCTAGGCCTGGGAAATGAAGCCTTAAATCAATCAAGTAGGTTGCACTGTTTCTCTTATTCAAAATTCCAGTTTGAAAACCAGAATTGACAAAAACTCACAGTATTCTCACTAGTTCTGATAAGCTGTGATTTCTCTTAGAACTCCAGGGACATTGTGAACAGAGACTCACACAACAATATCAGACTTGCTGTTTCTCAGCTGCCCTGCCTCTAATAGTCATCAACCAATCAGGGTCAAATACTGGACAAACACACAGGCTTTAAAATCAAATCCTGGGTTGGCCGGTGTGGCTCAGTGGTTGAGCACCATGCACCAAGAGGTCACCAGTTCAATTCCCGGTCAGAGCACATGCCCAGGTTGTGGGCCCGATCCCCAGTGGGGGGCATGCAGGAGGCAGCCAATCGATGTTCTCTCTCATTGATGTTTCCATGTCTCTCTCCTTCTCCTTTCCTCTTTCTCTAAAATCAATAAAGAAAAAATACAATAAAATAAAATCCTGGCCTATGATGATTTCTTAAGCAGTCAGTTCCTGCAGTTACTTGGGTTGTGATTAGGTCATGGATCCATTTCCCCAAAAGCTTTACTTGTATTGACAACTCTTTGGTTAACTTCCCAGAGTGGCAGAGCAGTGGAGTGAATCACCAGACCAGAAGTGAGGAAGCAGGTCATTGGATAGATAATATATATTCTCCTGGCCTCAGTTTCTTCATCTGTAATTTGCAGAAAATTTTCACCAAAGACTGCATAGACCCAAATCCAATAGTGAAAGTCTGAAAAATCCAGATGAAGCTAAACAGGGCTCAGTTTTGGGCCACATTAATAGAAGTACCATGTCCAGAATGAAGGAGCTGATTCTTCTACCATACTTTGCCCAGTCTGTCCACATCTTGGAAAACCACATTTAGATAAAGCACCACCTTTTAAAAGGGGATATTGATATACTGAAGTATGTGCAAAAGACAGCAGCCAGGATGTATGGACACTTAGAACCTAGTCGTGAGAGAACAGGTGTAGGAACTGCAGTTTTTAAACCAGAAACTTATCTTATAACAAGGACATGATCGTTGTCTTTGGAATTCTAAAGAGCTGTCTGTTGGGAAAAATATTTTACTAGCTCTACATGACCCCACAAGGCAGGATCAGTGGATAGAAACTACAGGGAGGCAAATTTCAAGTCTGAACAGAATGCAGAATGTTCTAATCAAACCAGCTGAAGGTGGAGAGATGGTTATAAGCAGAGGCTGGGTGAGCACTGGGCAGTGTGACCTTGGAGACAGAGAAGTTGCGGTGGGGCTCTGAGGCCCCATATAGCCCCATGAGCCTCTGAATCTAGCCTGAAATGGCTTATCTTCTCCACAGTGCCCACCATAAATGCTTGTGCTTTCAGAAGCATCGCTGAAGGGTTGCCACAGCTGATCTTCATGTGGCCCAAGCACCCTCACAACCAATCTTCTCCCCTCCCAACCTGAGGTTCTGAAATGATGCTCTTCTATCAGAATGTTCTCATTGTTTGAACAAGCTGTATACCAAGTTCCGGGGTCTCTCCATTCCAAGATTTCCAAGGCAGAATTCCCTCCATGCCTCATCTGCCCCACCTCCCACTCTGGTTGCCATTTCTCTAGTGTGCAGAGCAGAGAGGGAGACAGCTATGGACTGCACACAGCAAACGGACAGCAAGGATCCCTGGACACTCCAGCCCCCATGTACCTGAGCCAGTGCGGCCCATGAGCTTCCAGCAGACACTGGATGCCAGATTCTATTGCTTTAAGCACATCCCTCCCCTTAGCATTGCGATACAGCTGCTTGCAACAAGGAAAGGAACCTCTCCATGAGGAAGGATGGGAAGTCACTGGGATGAGAAATTTGCCTAAAGAGGGAAATACAGGATCCAGAAGAAGGCCTGGAGGAGTGTATCAATATAAAAGCACGTGCATCCATCCAGAGGGGCCCTTGCTACTGTAGGTGAGCAAGAGGAAAAGAAACCCCAAACTCAGGAGGCTGGGAAATAACAGTGTTGCCGAGAGCCTGGCTGAGTCTGCTGCAGGAATGGTTCCTGCAGGCAGTTCTGGAGCCGACTTGTGGGGAAGCGCCCAGGTTCTGGAGCAAGCAAGTGGTCTGGCTCCATGACTTACTTGCTGGGCTACCTTGGGCCCCACTAACAGCTCTAACCGTGAAAGAGGACAATAATGGTACCTGCCTCCTCGACTTGAGAGGATAACAATTCACAATATCGTAGGCTTAGCCACATGAAACTGCTGATATCTGACCATTTTGAACATATAAAAGTGACCATTTCATATGGATCAACCTCATACATATGGTTAAACAAGTACAGTGGTTCCCAAACTAGCCTGCATCTTGGAATTATCTCTTGAAAATTCCAAAGCCCAGGTCACACCCAGATGGATTCAATCACAATTTCTGAAGGTGGGACACCTGGCCAGGTGATTCTAATGGGCAGACAAGTTTGGGGACCATTGGCTTAGCACAGAGCTTGGTTTCTAGTAAGGCACTCAACCATAGCTACCTCTGCTTTCCCTTCATCTGTTGTTTATTGAGCACCTATTGCATGCCAGGCTCTGGCCAGGCCTGCCTCCCAGGACCCGAGGACCTCCTTCTGGCACTCATTTCTCGCCCTCCTCATTCTCAGTGTCCAGGCCCCGGAGCTCCCCAGACGACCTGAAGGTGTTGACTCTCAACGTGAACCGGCTGAACGAGAGCTTCAGGGACTTACAGCTGCGGCTACTGCAGGCTCCGCTACAGGTAGACCTGACGGAGCAGGTGTGGAAGGTGCAGGACGCGCTCCAGAACCAGTCGGACTCGCTGCTGGCGCTGGCGGGCGCGGTGCAGCGGCTGGAGGGCGCGCTGTGGGGGTTGCAGGCGCAAGCAGTTCAGACAGAGCAGGCGGTGGCCCTGCTGCGCGACCGCACAGGCCAGCAGAGCGACTCTGCGCAGCTGGAACTCTACCAGCTGCAGGTGGAAAGCAACCAAAGCCAGTTGCTGCTGCGGCGCCACGCAGGCCTGCTCGACGGGCTGGCGCGCAGGGTGGGCGTCCTGGGCGAGGAGCTGGCCGACGTGGGCGGTGCACTGCGCGGCCTCAACTACAGCCTGTCCTACGACGTGGCCCTCCACGGCACGCGGCTGCAGGACCTGCAGGTGCTGGTGAGCAACGCCAGCGAAGACACGCGTCGCATGCGCCTGGCGCACATGGGCATGGAGCTGCAGCTCAAGCAGGAGCTGGCTGTGCTCAACACCATCACAGAGGACCTTCGTCTCAAGGACTGGGAGCATTCCATCGCGCTGAGGAACATCTCCCTCGCCAAAGGTAGGGAGCCCACAGTGCCTTCCTGGGCACCTCTTGCGCAGGACCGTTCCATGTGCATCCTCCCCAAGGGCCCAGGAGTCTCGCTAGCTCCCCAAGCTGATTTGACATTGGGAGCCCATACCTCCTTTATTAAGCCTTGCCCTACAGTTCCCTGGGTATTTCTGCCCAAATGGCCTATGCCCATTTCCAGGCCTATACCTGAGCCTGTGAACTCCCTCCCTCAGAGTGCACTCCGTGTCCACTCCACTAGGCATGAGAATAGCCAAGAGTGGAGCTAATGGGGAACTGGGCAGTCAGAGCTTGGATATGCCAGTGAGAGCCTCCAAGAGTTTGGGGCTGGGGGTCTGGTTGCTGGCTCAGGCTGGGAAGAGGGAGGTGCTCCTCCAGCGTCATGGTGTTCCAGTGGCTAGAGCTACAAGGAGTTGGAACTCCAAATTTGAACCTGGCCTTCTAGACTGTTACAAAGCAATACAGGGCGGGGCAAAAGTGGGTTTACGGTTGTGAGTAGAGTTTATTCTTGTGTTATTTATTAATTCTTGTATTATTTTCCATACAAACAACTGTAAAGCTACTTTTGCCCCACCTTGTATTCATCTAGGTAGAAGAACATATTGAACAATTTATAAGTCTTAAATATAATGACAAAAAATGTGCAGGCCTCCATTTGTACCCTTGCTCGGGGCTCGCGAACATTAAAGCCTCGTAAAGCAACTTCCCTGTCTTTCACTCCTGTGTCCTGGTCCCTTGCACCCCACCCCTCTCTCCCATGCCTTCCTGTTTCTGCCCACCCTGCACATCACTGTCGGGGGCAGCTTTTATGAAATGCACATTTCCTGCATCGCCTCCTGCTCAGAACTCACCATGGATCCCCAAGTTCTGCCAAATTCATTATTAGTGACAGTAGACAATAATCAAACACCACCTATGTCAGGTACAGTGCCAAGAGTATCTCATATGATGTCTTTTTTTTTTATCCTCACCTGAGGACATTTTTGCATTTATTTTCAGATAGAGAGGGAAGGAAAGAGGGAGGAAGAGAGAGAGAGAGAAACATCGATGTGAGAGAGACACATTGACTGTTGCCACCCCCACAACCCCAAGTGGGGCCAGGGACGAACCACAACCCAGGTACACGGCATTAGCAGAACCAAACCTGGGACTCTCTGGTCTGCAGGCCGACACTCTAACCGCTGAGCCAAACTGGCCAGGGCTCATATGATGTCTTTTAAAAAATTTTACCTTTATTGTTGGAAGTATTACAGATGACCTCCCTTTTTCTCCCCATTGACCCCCTTCTCCCTGCTCTCACCCCCTTCCTGCCTTCCCTACATTATTGTCTGTGTCCACTGGTTATGCATATATACATATAAGTCCTTTGGTTTATCTCTTCCTGCATCCCCCCCCCCTTTCCTCTGAGGTTTATCAGTCTAACATCCAATTTGTACTTCTTAATCCCTTCACCTTTTTTGCCCACCTCTCATCCCCCTCCCATCTGGCAGCTAACAAAAAGCTCTCTGTATCTCTGAATCTGTTTCTGTTCTGCTGGTTCATTTGGTTTGTAGATTCAATTGTTGATAGATATGTATTTCTTGTCATTTTATTGTTCACATTTTTTATCTTCTTCAAGAAGACTCTTCAACATTTCGTATAATAATGGTTTGGTGATGATGAACTCCTTTACTTTTTCTTACTTGGGAAGCTCTTTATATGTCCATTGATTCTAAATGATAGCTTTGCTGGGTAGAGTAATCTTGGTTGTATATCCTTGCTTTTCATCACTTTGAATATATCTTGCCACTTCCTTCTGGCCTGCAAAGTTTCTTTTGAGAAATTAGCTGACTGTCTTGTGGGAGTTCCTTTGTAGGTAACTAGCTGTTTTTCTCTTGCTGCTTTTAAGATTCTCTCTTTGCCTTTAACCTTTTAAATTTTAATTATGATGTTTCTTGGTGTGGGCCTCTTTGGGTTCATCTTGTTTGGGACTCTCTGTGCTTCCTGGACTTGTATGTAGGGAAGTTTCTTGTCATTATTTTTTCAAATAGGTTTTCAATTTCTTGCTCGCTCTCTTCTCCTTCCAGCACCCCCATGATGCAAATGTTGGCACACTTGAAGTTGTCCCAGAGGCTCCTTACACTACCCTCATTTTTTTTTTTATTCTTTTCTCTTTTGCTGTTCTTAGTGTTTTTTGCTTCCTAATATTTCAAATCAATGGTTTGATTCTCAGCTTTAGCTACTCTACTGTTGATACCCTGTAAAATACCCCCACCCCCCGTGAAGTGTACTTTTTTTTTTTTTTCAATCCTCATCCGAGGACATTTTTCCATTTTTTGTTCAGATAGAGTGGGAGGGAGAGAGAGAGAGAGAAACATTGACGTGAAAGGGACACATTGAGTGGCTGCCACCCACACGACCAACCAGGGCCAGGGACAAACTGCAACCGAGCTATGCGCCCTTAGCGGGAACCGAACCCAGGTCTCTCTGGACCGCAGGCCAATGCTCTAACTGCTGAGCCAAACTGGCCAGGGCCCGTGAAGTATCCTTCATTTTAGTTAGTGCATCCTTCATTTCTGACAGGTCCTTTATTATGCTCTTGAGGTCTTCACTAAGTTCCTTAAGCATCCTTATAACCAGTGTTTTGAACTCTGGTTATCTCCATTTTATTTAGTTCTTTTCCTGGAGTTTCGTTCTGTTTTTTTCATTTGGGACATGTTTCTTTGTCTTCTTATTTTGGCTGCTTCCCTGTATTTGCTTCTGTGTATTAGGTAGAGCTGCTATGTTTCCTGGGCTCCCTAGGGTGGCCTATTGTAGTAGGTGTCCTCTGGGTCCAGTGGCACAGCCTACCTGATCACCCCAGCTGGGCACTCGAGGTGTACCCCCCGTGTGGACTGTACACCCTTCTGTTGTAATTGAGTCTTCATAGCGGTTGGCATGTCAATGGGAGGGATTTACTCAGGCTGATCAGCTGCAAGGGCTGGCTGTGCCCACTGACTACCTTGGAGGATCAGCTGTGCAGGGGCTCACCATACCTAGCAAGACTTACTTCAGCAGGGCTCTGGTACCCACTGAGTCCACTCCTTGAGTGTGTTGCTTGTGGAGGTGGTTGGGTCATGGTGTTCTGACATGGTCTGAAGCTGTCCACTGGGTGTGCTGGCTCTGGGAACTCCTAGGAGGTACAGGTGAAGGTCAGCCACTACCTGTGTTCTACCCGGGGACACCAGGCATAAGCTACAAAGCAATCTGCAGATGGCTGCTTCTTGTGCTGAGCTTAGAAGTGCCCAGGAAAGGCCAAGCTATGAACCAAGACTGGCTGCTGCTAGTGCTGGGCCTGGGGCCACTCAGAGGTATGGGGCTCGCTGAGGCCAGATGCTGCTTGTTTGAGAGATTTTAGGGAAATCTGAGGCATGAGTAATACAGGCCATTTCTCTGGTACAGCCACTGGAAACAACTTGGGTGGGCTCAAAAGTTGGGTGGGGCAGGGACTCAGGAAATCACCCGGGTGGGGCAAACCGTGTGAGCCAGGTTGCTGGAGTTCTAGATTTGGCGCCTGTGTGCCGCCCTGGGGAAGGGCTCACCAAAGAAACAAAGGCCTCCGCCAGCACGTCTGTCTGTGAGAAAGCCGCCCCTCCAGCTCTCTCCCTGATGCCAAACAACTCAGTTCTTCCCTGTATGTCTTCTCTTTCAAGCTACCTCCTCCATGCTGGAGCCTTGAGGGAAGGAGTCCGAGTAAGTCCGTGCACGGACCCTTTAAGAGGAACTCCCTGGGACTCCACCAGCCTCAGCCTCCCTCCGCCTCAGTTCCCACTGGTTTTTGCAGCCAGAAGTGATGGGGACGTCTCTTCCTGGCACTGGAACCCTAGGCTGGGGGCTTGGTGTGGGACAGGGACCCTCACTCCTCGGGGAGGACCTTCCCAGCCAAGGCATCCTCCTGATTTTTATCCATCACACATGGGTGTGGGACCAGCCCATCTGCACCTCCACCCTCCTACCAGTCTCCATGTGGCTTCTTCTTTAATTTTGTAGTTGTAGGACTTCCATTCAGCTTGATTTCAGACAGTTCTTCATGATGTTGTTCTGTAGTTTGGTTGTAATTTTGATGTGTTTGTGGGAGAAGGTGATACCGTGTTTACCTATGCCACCGTCTTGACTGGACTCATAATGTCTTTTAAAAACAAATGCACCGAGCCCTGGCCAGTTTGGCTCAGCAGTTAGAGCGTCGGCCTGCGGTCCGGAGAGACCCGGGTTTGGTTCCCGCTAAGGGCGCGTACTTCGGTTGCAGTTTGTCCCCGGCCCTGGTTGGTCGTGCAGGTGGCAGCCTCTCGATGTGTCCCTTCAAGTCGATGTTTCTCTCTCTCTCTCCCTTCCTCTCTCTCCCTCCCACTCTATCTGTACAAAAAATGGAAAAATATCCTCGGGTGAGGATAAAAAAAAAACAAAAAACAAATGCACCGAGATTCAGAAAGCAGCCTACAGTTGCAGCCTAGGAGGCGGCAGTGCCAGGATTTGGACCTAGGCTTTTCTGACCCAGGCTTTCCATTGCATCCCCGTCCCAGCCTAGCTTTCCTGCCTCCTCCTGCTCGTCCCCAGGGCAGGCATTGCCAGCAGAACTGTGTGCAGGGGCCAGTGCAGCAGTGTCAGTAAGTAAAGTGACCTCAGTGTCGGGGGAGTAGTAGGACTATGGCAGGTCCAGCCCATTTTGGCCAGACTGGCATTGACAAGGCCTTCCCATTTTTCAGGAGCAGCCAGAACATAGAATGTTCTAGAAAATTTTCATAGTTTAACACCAGGGGCCATACAGGGTCCCTAACGGCCAGCTTGCATTCCCCGTCCTGTGTGAGGCATCCGTCCAGTGGGACGCATCTGGTCACTGGCCCAGAGACAGCCCACCTTCCCCACAGCCATAGCTTTCCTCCAGCTGTGCCTCGTACTGCAGCGCCTCCTTCTTCCCCTTCCTCCACCGTGTCCGCATCCTTCAGATCTCACTCCAACCCGCTTCCTCCAAGGAC